TCACTGTTATATCCACACTCTCCGCTCCGCCATTCAGCTCTACTCATAGCATCTCCTTCCTACCTCAGCTGTTATATTCGCAGATACATGTATATCTCCCATTATAATTATATACACCCGGTATATACCGGTACCTATACGTGCATTCAAACAGGTTACATAAGATTCTATGGAGGGATAGAGAAATAAACAGAGAGAAAGAGAGAGAGAGAGAGAGAGAGAGAGAGAGAGAGAGAGAGAGAGAGAGAGAGAGAGATAGGGAGGATGAGAGGGCGCGTAAGGGAAAACGCGATGACATGAAGTTTATTAGGTAAGGTCTATCGGGACCGCCTTTCAGTTAAGTACGCCGTGCACGGAATGGAAATAAGTTTCGACGTTCCGGTAGTACCGTCTACTTTCTCCGGTGGCTGATTAATTTCCTTAGGAAAAACAGACCGGTAGGTAAGCTTCATTTTCTACAGAATAAGCAAAATGAGAATGAATCCTTGTTTTATCTGGTCCACGCGATGATAAAAATAAATGGGCTGAATTTTTTAAGTGAGTGATCTTTACATGAACAAAATAAACATTTTCGGATAACACTTTATCCCTTGTATACATACAAGATTACTTTTTTATACATTCCAATTATATCCTTTCTATTCTTACAATTATAGTTGAAGACTAATAAAAGAAATATTTTCTGAAACATATATACACAAAAATTAAAGAAAAGATTTAATACTAAAAAATATATACTTTAATATGATATATAGACGAAGTGCTTATCTTAGCTTTATAATTATAATTTACAGTTTAATTAAAAAAAAGCTCCCTATCAATTTAACATCGCCAGGATTAAATACTATGTCAAACGCGCGATTTTATCAATTTATATAACATTCAAAAATGCCAGTTGTATCGTTCTTCCGGAGGTCCCTTCAATTTGTTATCGCCACGTAACTCTCCCCGCCTCTTTATGCGCGAGACACGGTTGACCGCCTAGGATGCGGCTACGCAAATTAATTTCGCGAGTGCGCAAGGCGCAACAGCCTGCGTGAGAAATATCGCGAATACGCATGCGGCGCGGTATCTCATACGCGTGGGCGAACAGTTGCCAGGCGTTACGGCAAAAGATAAACGATTCGTTACCCACGCGAAAGCTGGCTACCTTCCTCCTGTCTGCCCCTTTTTCTGCATCCACACGCGTTACATAAATTCGATCGAAATATATCTACTTGACTGCAACTTTTTCGACTGCAACGTTATTTTTTTTTCTGCGACTGCAGATGCCAGAGCTACGCAGTTTCGTGGAATTCCTTCTTATTGTATATATGTACGTTTGCCGTTTCTGCTGCAATTTCATTGATTTTCGTGTGCGTGCCTCACATTAACTGTGCGGGATATCGTTGCGAAAACGGTTCTCGCTGTTGACGATTATCCTGTGATCTAAATCAACCGCCACGGGCGGCACGGAGTTGCTTGTCGCCGTTTGCTATTGATGTAATGACAGGCGATTCGCCATGGAGACCGCAGCTGAGCACGGCCCTATAATTTAGCACTTTACGAGCGATCGCTAATCACGATCTGCAGATCCGGAAACACAGCGTGAATTTTTGAAGAAATTACATTAACAAATCGTTTTACATTTCAAAATGGTATTAAATCATCAATTTTTCTAAATGTCATTATCATTATTTTAGTACTTATAAATCTATCGTGTCGAAGAAACTTCTATACTATAGCTATTTGTTGCGCGTTGATTTAAAAAATTTTAGAGGTAAATTAAATTCTATTGCGTAGAAATAGAGATTTAAAATAATAAGGTCTTTTATTAAAAAGCATCAGAGTGCATGTTGTGATTAGATCATATCCTATATATATCCTATTCTTTCACGAATGCCAGTGATATTATTCTACTTCAATATCATATTGGTAAAAAATATTAATCAATGATACACTTGTATCTCTCATTGTCAGTTAACTGTTAAAACTATCACTTTGTATCTATTGAAAACTTATCTAAATTTGATAAATCAATCTGTACATATTACTTAAAAGTACAATAAACAATGCTATTATATATCATTTAAAAAGTCCTATTCATTATTATTAGCGTTATCATTTTATCTCAATGATAAGTAGTTGTAAATAAATGATATTATAAATTAGCGTCCTGAATTTCTATTAAATCCGACCGAAAGTTAACCACAATAAACTCTCTCGATGCGGTCAACATTACGTTTACAACAGGAAAAGTCAGTTTTCGTTTAGTTCCACCGTATACATAGACGTGTCTGGAACTTATATGAACTTAGGGGCGTATATATTACGTATGTGTGTGTGTATGTGTATGTGTGTGTGTGTGCCGGAGAGAAAGAAAAATCGAAGCGCACGTGAGACGGACAAGCGGAAAAAGGGACGGAGAGAGCGGTAAACGTATGATGTCATTTTGCGGTTCGCGGAAATTCCGGAGTTTCAAATATTGGAACGCATATCTCTGCGGGCAAACATTTATTTAACTCCCAATCCTCCCCTCGGCCGCCGTCTCCCCAAATCCGTGTCCGAGCTCGCGATTCCAATCCTCCCGCTCCCTCACCTTTCCCCTCATTCGGCTGTCCCGCGTTCATTCGACGTTTCGCGCGAACGTGCCTTTGAACGCGCGACGACTGGCAAAATGCAATCCGATTGAAGGCGGTGGCATCGAGCGCATACTGACGTAGTGGCGCCGATTAATGGACTGAAAGCGATCTTGTTTCCAATGTGCGCGTGTACACGCGGGACCATTTCAGTCTTGACCAGTCACCGCGAAAATAAAAGTTACGACGTATGCAACCATGTTGCATTCAGAATTCAGAATTGATTCTATTCTAGCCTAATAGAGAAATCCTAATTTAAATATTCGATAACGAACTCAAATACTGTTTCATTAAGAAACAAATAATATATGTAATTATGTTCCACATATTTAATATAAAACAATCTCTCGAATTTTTCTCTCTTAAATCATCTTCCTGTGTGAAAATTAATTATAGATAATCGTTTAAAATTAAGAGCTAAAATAAATGAAGAAAAACTTATCATTTTTTAATAAGTCAATAACTTATGTTGTGATATTATGTAAGTTCTTCTCCATCTAGTGATAAAATCAGAGTTAGGATGTATGCGAAAAGTCCATATGAAAATGGAAATTATGATTTCAATGATATAAAAAAAAGTGTATGAAGCTCTCAAAATAACTATATGTTATTACCGCATGTTATTTATTACTGTATACTATTAAATATCTCCTTTTTTTGTCTTATCTTTTCATTCTCCAAATCAGAACAGAATTGATAAGAAAATTTTCAATAGACTGCAAGATCTCCGTGAGAGGACAAGCTGATGAAAGTAAAAATAGCGCGCTTCCGCGTTTTCTCAGTGCCATTGTTCGCCATCACATATTTGATGTGGGTGAGCAATTGCGTAGGTTCGAGAAGAATAGAAAGTCATCGAAAAGACACGAATCCCGAAGCTCTCAAAGGGGAACTAAATTTAACGTCGTACATGCCTCGCCCTCTCCAGGGAGTTTACCTGCGTTAATACACAACGAGCACGGTTAGCCTTCACGGCGTTAACGTGAATTCGATACGCAAACCACAAATATACTGCTGCAGCCGCCGTGCATTCTCAACGACGGAAACCAGCGCCTGGTTTCTCGTGTATTCCACCATGGAATATCTCGCCACTAAATATACACAAACAGAATGCTTTAAAACGACGCTTCCGAGACACTCGAAAGCGCGCACTTGTGAGACTTTAACTGCTTATCAAGATTATCAAGAGCAAAAAAGTAATAAAACCACTTTACGCTAAAAATTATTTTGAAAAAATAAATTCCGATTTAAAAATTCTGCGTCTAGTTTAAATACTTAAAATTAAAGAATGTGTTGCATACAAAAACGATTGTTCTTGTATGCGATTGCCGTAACTTTCGCAGTACGTTAAACCAATGTATTTAACAAAAGGAGAAAAGCGTAACTTTCTTTTAAATTTACACCCATGACTGCACGTATGTGAATGCGTGTATCAGTGTGTGAGTCAAATAAATTACATTCCGCGTTGCTGTATTTCAATTAAAAACTTTTCCCCCGCAAGCGAAAACGCTTTAACGCGTTCGCAAAATGACTCGTGCTCAACGCAAGCTATTCCTCTGTTTTATCGCGACGGCTTACGTTTAAATTTTATCTGCGGACTAATTATTCCTATCTATTCCTTACGTTGGGTGCACTATTTAGAAGAAAATTACCCCGTTCAACGCGCACTCGGAGATCACAAACTAGGCGTGCTAATTACTCGACTCTGTATAGAAACTTTTTGCGCGACTTTTTCCAACGTATTTGCCACATTACTTCGAGGTGGGCTTTCATTTAACAAGAAGGCATACCAGCCAAAGTGCCAGTTGGCTTCCCTTTCCCCCAAGATGTGTCGCGAATCTCTCGCCGTCGCGATTGTGACCGCGCGAGGGGACCGCACACTATCCTCTCTCTCCTCATCTAAATATCTTTCATTATTCCGGCGACTCTACGTTCAACTGCTGTCCACTATGACTCTACTGCTGTCCACCATGTGATTATCCGGGGTCCAACCGCGAGGGGCTCGTAAAGACACAGAGGGTCCCGACAGGACCAACTTCAGGTGGCATGCGCAAGAAAACAACTGTCCCAGGGTGCAATTAAGCGGGCACAAATGGCCTCTATCATTACGCGCAGTTGAAGTAAATTACGCGAAAGTTCTCTCTGGTCGGAAAGTCAAAAATATAAGTACCCATTATACCGCAAATCTAAAATACTTCGAAACGAATCGTAAAGTTTCTAAGAATAAAAATTAAATTTTCGAGACTATAACCGCAAATTGTATAATAAGACATTTTTTCGCTTACTTATATATAATATACAATTCGTAATAATAAAGTTATTCGTCAGCGATTTTTTTTTCAATATTCAATGGGCGATATACAATTTAGATTATTGAACACTTACCTTTCACCTTCGTGAAAACCCTCAAACTCCTCCTGTTGCTCGTTGATGGAGGCCTCGAGGTCCAGGTAAGCGCCATAATCGCCGCCCTTGTACAACTGGAGCGCCGTGTCATCGAGCTGCAACACAGGTAGCAGCAAGATGCGTTGAGAAACTGCGTCTGTTTTGCGTACGCGCGGCCGGCCGCGGTGGTAATCGCGCCATGGAAATTATTACCGCGCCGATGGCGATCGTTAGCCGGTTTTCGCGTAACCACCGTCCATTTAAGAGCCGCATCCGCGACGGAATGAAGTCGGCAAAATGCAAGCTCTCCGACGAGCTCGTGACTTTTATTGCGAGCACGCGCGGAAATTGTATCGATATATGGAGAAGGAGTCTATACAGATCCTCAAATATATATATATATATATATAATATAATATAATATATATATAATATAATATTATAATATATAATATTTTTTTCTGTTAATAAAACAAAGAGATATCTCTCATAGAAAACTTTTATCTGTTTGAACGATGTATTTGCGTAGAGGAATAATTTTTAATAATTAATTATTTTTTTAATTGTCAGATTACGATATATGGCAATTTTTATTTATGTAGTATATAATTTATGCAGTATATAATTTTTATTTCTATTGTATCACAATTTATGTTGATACTGAAAATTAGGTACAATTGAATGTACATAAATTTTACACAAAATATTATACATTATGTATAAAAATTTTGTAAACTTTATAAATCTTTTTCCTTCGTTATGTTATTTTAATTAAAAAAATCAAATATGTAATTTTCGGACAAGTTACGGTTAACATAAAAAATGTATAAAAAACAATGTTTCTCAAAAAGGAAATACCACTCTTAAATCGCATGTTCAATTCGATCGTGCGATCAAGTCCAACGCATGGATTCGTTAATCAGAATGAACGGTTTCTTTCTCATTGAAAGATCAAGGTTTCCGGCGTAGGAGTTCAATGCACGTGTAGGAGTATTACGGGTCAACAATTTGGGCTAATGCGGCTAATCTGCTAAATTTATCTGCGGATCTGCTGGTCCACATACGCCGTTCCCATATGCGAGAGATGATAATCGCTTGGTTTAGAATCAGGTGGTTCGCACTAAATATAAGCCTCTTGCTCTTATCTGTATCATCTTAAAATATCAAAATTATAAATAAAATTTAAATACATACAATTCTTCATTAATATACGTACAAAGAATAAATGGTATAATAAACTTAATTTTTTCATTCTTCCAAAAATTTAATGTAAAAGCTTTGGTATTTTCTGTTCGTTCCTGCGCAGTATAAAAAAGTAAAAATAAAAACATATATGTTTAATTTTATTTAACAGTGGATTCAATTGTTCACTTAATCCTATCCTTTTCTAATCTCGCGTCACCGGAGAAATTTGTCATTTCACTATTCACGCGCTGCTATCAAAGAGAAATCGCAGTAATGAAAAACGCTGAGCTTGCAGAAGCAACAAGTTGGCGTATTCCCGGTTTTGACGATGCGACGCGTGTCGCGAATGAAGAAACGAAGAATCGCAGGGTCGACAAGAAGCTGCTCCGTGCTATGGTGGAAGTTCGCGACCCGATCAAATCGAATTCTTTACGGACCTCGAATTTCCCGGATCACACGATCCGCTGTCGACCTTGTTGAATCTCGCCCGCCTGCCCGAAGGAGGCCCGTAAAAATGTAACGATCGCAGCGGCCGACATAAATCCCGCGCGATCACGCGTCCCCTCCTAATAGCTGAACGGGCCGAATCGACCGGCGATAAATTGCCGGAGGTAAGTAACCCCGATGAGAACGACGACTTTCTTCCGGCGCGTTCTTTTTTTAGGTCGCTTCCTTCTTTCACGAGATTAAGATCCGCCAGGTCCAGCGCGGCACGTTGCCAGCGGGGGATAACGGTACGCCAGGGAGCACGCACGTTTACGTAAAATGAGACGAGAGTGAGAGCAATATAGGCAAACACAATAGGTTAGGTGTTCTAGATGTTGGAGCCAAATCTATTTTTTTCAGATATCTCTGGTAGTCAAAGATAAACTGCTACACGTTTATTGCGAGAATCTAGTTTGTGAAGAAAACAGATTTGTATTTAATATACATATTTTCCCTCTACTGACTTCAATATTTGTAAATAGAAATGGATCACGTTGTGACTTTCTCATTTAGTTTCTGTTTAATTTGACAGTTGAGAGCGAAATTGCCCAGTATTTATAGCCATTCCAAAGAAAAATTCACAATAATCTTTCTTCTAATTCGTATAACATAAAATCAATATTGTTTTTTGCTAATCAGCAAGATGTATAAATACTCGTTCGATATAACAAATAAATAATTTGAGATGAGATTTTATTATTTAGAGTACACTTTTGAGTTACTGCAATAATGATTCGTTTTTTTTTTACACGCCATTCCAAACAACTTAAATCAAATAAAAATAAAGCAAGAGTACACGTGAAAAATGTTGCCTATAGCATAAACGTATTTAGACGTTTGCTCCGATAAAAACGCGAGTTCCAAGTTAACATATATAGTAAATAAAGAACGGAAGAGAGAATGATCGCGTCGTCATAACGCGCTGTCCAGGACATCGCGACGCCGCGTCGCCGGCGCGAGATCGGAGAGGAGACGGCGCGAATACATTTTCTGTTGACCTATATTTCTAAAAATCACAGCTTTAAAATAGTCGTCGGCGAAGCATCCCGCTAAACGTGGTGAGATGTCGGCAGTCGCCTTACGTTGGCTCCCACGTTGCTGCCCCGGAGCGTACCGCATGCGGTGGAAACCACACGCACATGCGGCCAATTGCGCAATACGTCCGGTATCAGTTTCGCACGTGATCTTCGCCCTTTACGCAGCAGTTTACCGGAAGGATGCGTTATCTCGGCACACGGCTTGTGTGTTGAACGCTAATCGAGGGAAATTACAGCGCTATGAGTAAATTAATCTTTCATTACTGAACATTTATCTGACGAATTATTCCAGTAGACGTAATTACTTCTTAATATTTTCAAAGCAATAATACTGATTTTAGAGTCATGATAGTAAAACCAATCTATTATTCATCATATTTTAGTTTTTTAATACCTCTAGAAATAAATATTTAAAAAAATATACCTACTACATAAATAAAACGGAAAATAAAGAATTTGTAAATTTATAATATTTATATTTTTAACGTAAAAAAGTTGTTTTTTGCGATTAATAAAAATTAACATTACGCTTGTGCAAACGACAGTTAAAACGATTCAAAATGAATGGAGCGACATATTATTGTATTAAAAAATATAATGACTGATGTGTTGACAAAAGTACATTCTATTAATAAAATTATTTTTTCGTAAGGTTTATAATATGCAAATGGTAATTAAGCTGAATATGTCAACATGAATTTAGCTCTGTAAATATTAAAAAATTGTTTTCTGTATCATTAAAGAGTAAAAAAATAGAGAATATATTTTGACTTTCAATAGGTAGGTATTTAAAAATAACTGAGTGCAATTTGAAAGTAAAAATAAAATTAAAAAATGCGAAACAGTACTTTTTCGAGCAAGCTACTCAATAAAAACTTCATAATATTTTCATTTGTAATTTGATTTCCGAGTGGATTGCAATAAATACGGCAAACAGCACTTTACGCGGAAACGCGATTTTTTATCTCTAGTAAGCAATAGTCGAGCAGTACGTGTTGACATAACAATTCAAGTAGCATGTAAACGTCACCCTTGCACTATACGTCGGATCGGGCGCGCTTCCCCTTTCTCTGAATATATTTTCACGGACATTCTCTCGTTGCGAAGCGTTCGTCCCGCTGGGTTTTCCTCCTTTCGCTTGTACCTGCAAAATCGCGTTGTTTGCCCCAAGCCCATCGAATAAATCGTAAATTCCCCGTTGTCGTTCGTCTTTCCTCTCCAAGTTTCTATTGGGTGGCGAAGCTCCTTACGCAAATACGTAACCGAGAGAGAAACGCTGATTACGAGTCTCGTGAATTTCGCCGACGTTGCCAAGAGATTTAAAAGTATATCTGTCCGCATGTATGAACTGGTTACAAACGAAAAATACCAAACTTCAGAGACGAGAAAAATTTAACGCGACGTTTATCTATATTGATAGATACATCTATCTTATAGTAAATGTATACCGCCTATTAAGAAAATTTCTGCTTTGTAATTGTATGAAAGGTTTAAAGTTTCAAAAAGTTATTACAGTAAAGCTGCTCGTTAAAACAAAAGCTTTACTTGTCTATAATGCAAAAATTAATTCAGACGCAATAGTATCAAATCTCAATTGGTTAAGTAAAAAAACGGAATTACATACGACAAAGGACTGTAGGAGTAATTTTAACCAATGTGTAATTAAAACCAATGCGAGCCGGCGATCTATAATTTCTTACAATCGCTGCATAAAGTCGACTTTCGACGGGGGACTATGTCGTAAACAGGAAGGTACCGCCATTTATTGTGGGAGTAATTAAAATATATTAACATGAGCGCGCACTTGTCCAATGTAAAGCCGTGTACAATCGTGGGAGCCCGGGGGCATTCTTATTAATTAATGCAATTAAAGGTAAAAATAGATTTTAAGGATACGTCGGAAATAACGCGGTGCAAGAATAACGAAACCTGAGAAGCCGCGAGACAATTAACTGCAACGCTATTCGTGTTCTGGCGGAGTCGTTCTGCTCGACTGTGCGAAACTTTCACGACTATCTTCCCTTTTTTTCTCTCTCTCTCTCTTTACACTGCACGCTTCGAGAATAAATTCATGCAAATTTATTCGCGTAAAGACAAGTTAAAGAAGCAGTTCGAGATAAGTTTAAAATAAAATGTTGACGTACGTCAGCTCTGAGACGAAACGGGCGATGTATAAAATACTTCACAGACAGATAAATTTTAGCGCTTTATTTGCTAAGACTTGTCAGTCGAAAATCGGAACGATTTTCATGTTCACTCCGTTTATTCTCGTAATATTAAACTAAAATGTAATATTAAACTGAGGTTCTTATAATCAAAAACATCCAAGGCAGAAGCACACTTAGTATATATAAATACAAAATTTCAGTATAATTCATTTACATCACGATTGTAAGGTTCATAATAAT